GAAATTAATAGTATTTGAGATAAAATTATAACTTTAATTATTATTGTTGATGCTAATATTATTAATATTATAAGTGCTTATGCTCCTCAAGTAGGTTGAATATGTGTTCAAAATTAAAATTTTAAAATAATTTAAAAGAATTAATATAATAGATACCTCATGAATAAAAAGTTTTTATTAGAGGAGATTTAAATATATATGTTGGTAAAGAGAGAAGATTTTAAAAATATTTATGATAGCTATGGGTTTGGAGCAACTAATGAGATGGTTGAACCATATTAATTTTTTTCTCTAGCTTATGGTTTTGTAAATTGGTAACACCTTATTTAAGAAAAGAGTTGAGCATCTCACACTTATAATAATGGATATAGTAAAATATATATTGATTATTTTCCTATAAAAAATTGATCATTTAGATTGCAAAGATTATAATTCTCGGTGAAAGTTTATGTTTCCAGCATCTATTAATAATTTTGGACTTTAAGATGAAGGGGTGGAATATGAAAAATAAAATAAAATGTTGTCCTAAGATTAGATGGGCAATTGAAAAAATATTAACAAAAATATTTTTTTAGAGTAAGATTTACAATTTAAATATTTTGACCATACATAAGGAAGTTAATGTTATGTGGAAAAAAATAGCTAGTAATACTAAGAATGTTATAACGGATGTGCTTAATATATCAAAAAGAACTTCTAATAGTAGAAATAGTTTGCAATGGAATCAAAATATGGAAGAGAATATCAAAAATAAGAAGTTTTGTTACAAAAATTAATTTTGATATAAAAACTTCAAAAATTGAGAAAGATATAAAGAGACCTATAAAGAGTCTAAGAAAATAATATGAAATATAAAAATTTTAACTTTTAATGATTTATATAATAGATCAGATACTAAAGAGGGTGAAAGATGTTTGTATAAGTTAATTATGTAAAGAAATAGGAGAAGGATTTAGTTCAAGTGAAATGCATTAAGAATGAAGATTAAAACATGATATTGTTATAATAGGATATTCAATAAAGGTGGATGAGATATTTTGATAAGCTTTTCAATAAAGATTATGAGAATACGATTGACTTTAGTGAACCTAACACCTTAAATGAAATTAGAGATTTTTATTTTATTGGCATATTAGTAAAACAAAGTTAGAGATGTTTTAAAGGAAAATAAAGTGTGAAAAAACTATTGAACCTGATGATATTCTAATTGATGTATGAAAATGCTTAGGACATGAAATTTCTTGGCTTAAAAAGAAATCAAATGAGTGGAGGAGTGTGTTGATTTCTATTTTTAAGAATAAAGGTGATAGACAAGAGTGTGCGAATTAAAAAGGATTAAATTTGGTGTGTTACTTTAAAACTATAGGAGAGAGTTATTCCATAGGTTACGACTTGATAATAATGTTTCTCAAAGTCAATTTGGATTTATGCCAAGTAGGTCTACTATAAAAGCTATATATTTATCGAAAGGTTTGCTGGAGAAGTATAGGGAGAATAAGGAGGATCTATATATGATATTTATTGATTTACATAAAGCATATGATAAAGTTCCAAGAGAAGTAATATGGAATGTTATAGAAAAGAAAAAGGTTAATAATGCTTATATTCAATTCATTAAGGATATGTACCCATGAGCTGTTACTAGTGTCCAAATACAAGGTGGTTTGACCAAGTATGTTCCTACTTCAATTGGATTACATCAAGAATAACCTTCAAGCCTATATCTTTTTGTTTCAGTAATGGATGTTCTTAGTAGCCTTTTGCAACAGGTTGTACCTGGTGTATGCTTTTTGCTAATGATATTCTTCTTGTTGATAAAGACTAGAGAGGGAGTTGAAGGTAAAACTAAATTATAGAGGTTAATCTTAAAGTCTAAAAGTTTTCGTTTGAGTAAATCTAAAATCGAATGCATGGAGTAAAATTTTAGTAATAATAAATCTACTGGGAGGATTGTGACTTTGGGCGATCAAATCATTAATAATAATAAATAAATGAATGTTATAGAAGTGAAAAGTAAATACAAAATCTCAGAAAAACCTGAACAATAACTTTTTTTTAATATACCATAATCAGTATTTATCTTATTTACAAATGATTTGTAAATTTGGAAAAATTAATTATGTCTAGTGCTTGTTCTTTTTTTTTTATACTTTAAAATTGCCTATGCTAGTCCAAGCCTAGATGAAAGAAGTTGAGAGAGTTTGTCAACATAAATTTAGGCACCCCACTGAAAAAATTTTCTAGCTCCGCCACTAATCACAATTTGAGTTAGCAAAAAAATATTAAGTTATTTAGTTGAAATATGGAGTATACTACATTTGAATTGCAGGCCTATATAATTTTTTAGTGTTTCATAGAGAGTAACATAAATCCAAAGTATTTTAGGGAATTTGAACTCAGCCCATAGTTAAGTTTTGGTGAGTTTTGAATTCAGCCTAGTTAATTGAATCAAAATACACCGTAGTACACAAAGATCTAGACATTCGTGACCTCCCAAAACCTCTTGCACCTACAACCTCCCACAAATGCAACCTCATGCACCTATGACCTCCGCTTCTATCCTAATTGTTAGCAACTCACACCCATACCAGCAATAATCCACACTTGAAACCTACCTTGACCAAACCACGATCTCAAACCGCCCTCAATACACAACCTCAATGATGACCCACTGCACACCACCAACCCATGACTTTGTTTGCAATCCTTGGGAAGCCACATAGTGCAGTGCTCAAGGAAAAAAAGCAATATTAAAAAAAAAACTCAAATCACTTTACAATAATAAAAACACAAAAAAAAGTAATTTAATTTATTTTACAACTAACCAAATACCAAAGAGTATTTTAAATTTATTGAATTTACTTCACACTGCATTTAAAATACACATTAATTTTAAATACTTAGCACCAAACAATCCCCAGCTTCTTGGTTTTGAGTCATGATCTAAACAAAAAAATTTGAACATGTTGAGGGGAATACTTTCGATATAATCATGTCGCGGTCAAATCTATCCTAGTATCAGGTTGTACCATTACAACATTGGGAGTGATAATACAAGCATAAAGGGGGTACAAAAGTTTAGTGATGGCTACACTTATTATTTTAGTAAAACCAATTTGGTCTGCAACATATCCATTTTAGAGGCCTTCAGTGGATTTTAACTTAATATTTATTTTCATCTCAAGTGCCACCAATATTGAATTGTACTTGAAGGATTATGGAATCTAATCATATCTCCATATAGATTTTATGTGTGTTATAATGCATGATCATGAAATATTATATGTCAAAGAATATTTCTTCGTGGTGAATTATTTGGAAGAAACCTACAGTAAAACTAGTTATGGAATGAGATAAGAAACCTAGCATATCTCTCAATTTTCTATTGAATAAATTCAGAAGCCTCAAATTAAGGAATAGAGATTTCTCAATTAACGAGTATCGAATTGCTAGAAGAAAAGGTTCCTCACAAGTTATACCGAAAGTTTTTAAGTAATTGGAAGGCCCTCATAGTTGTTTTTTAGGGATCAAGGCTAAAATGAGATTTTGGATTGTATTTTTCTAAAGGCAATCAGACGACTTCTTCCAACAAGTGGATGCCAAACAACAATGACATTATCAATTAACCAAATTTTGTATTTAGCTTTTGAGAATTGCTAGTGACAGTCCCTATATTTGTACATTGTTTGCGGCTTTGTGATTTCTAATAGATTGAATCCTCTCTCCTCTATCATGAACGTAAGCTTCTTTAAAATAAGCCTCACAAATAGTGGCATTCTCCTTTATTAATTGATCTCTTTTGCTATTCCTTTGGGGTTCATCATACTTGCACTTGGTGACGCTTTTGCATAAAAATTATTTATTTTTTTCTATAAAAACATCTGCCCTTCTACTCTCACCCTAATGACGGAAAAAACATTAGTTTCAATTATGGTTTACCCATGTTTGTTATTCTTGCAGTTTCCTACTTAAATTTTGCCTTAAAGTATCATGCCTCTTTTAATTTACATCAGCCATATCGAGTTTATTACTTTGGGTCACCTCATTTTTTACTGCTGCTGAAACTCTAATGTCAGTGTCAAATGGCCATCTCCCAAATCCAATACCGCTGTACAAGATCCTTTCTTTGAACTATGTCGTGCTCGTTTGATATCCGTATGAACTGATCAATTGCATGAGATTTGTGATAGCAACAGAATTAATGAAAGTATCTTGAAACAACGTTTTTTTCTAGTATTTTTTATTCATAATAATTATAATAATATTCTAATTATACTAGTTATGTAAATATATAGTTGTAATTTTAGTGAAAGGCAAACATTAATTTTAGTTAGTGATCCCGTCTTGTTACATTCTTGCCCTTAGAAGAAGCGCTCAAGAACATGACAATCAAGCCTCTAGAAAAAGTATGGCGATAACTACCGTGACACAATTTATTACCAAATGGTTATGCCAGTTTCCTCAAAAGAGATGCTAGGCATAAATTGTAAACTTATTAGAAGCGACATCATCCAGTATATATAGAGTTGATGGCTACATGCGTAGGTACTAATGCATTTATACAAAAGTTATCAACATTTAACTCGATAAATCTTCTTTACTTGCAATATCAAAACAACGTCCATAAAATTAACTTACTGTGGCTTCATTGGTGTCATCTCAAGGACATAATCACTTGTTAGCAACTTCATGTAATAGTCAAATGGTAAATCAAAGCAAGCACTTTCATCAGATTAGGTATCTATTGCAAGAAAAATCTACTAAAGAGTTTAAGCCATTTGACAATGCCTTTTGAACCAATTTCCTCTGGCACCTTTCAGATAAAAAGATCGACATTATTTCTCCTTTTGTTTTTCTTATAAATACTTTAGGAAAGAAGCCTCAAACATGATCCCTCCTTATGGAGCCATAATCCTCGATATCATTTGATCCTCTCATAGTTTCCATATAAACTTGCTTTAAATTCAAATGTTGCATAAAAAAAGTGAGAATCCACTTACCATGAATTCACACTCAATATACGGATCAGCGACCGCCTTGCAATTATCCTGAAAACAGGAGGAAGAAAAACAATGATAGGAATGGGCATCGAGTTAAATGGAGTATACATAGCTAATTCCATAATGCGGCTTCTCTTACGCATTTCATCAAACGGATGTTGCCCGGAGAGTATTCTACGAACAACTTTTCAATCCTCCGCCCACAGTTGACGCAACGAAATCCATCGCCATTCAGATCGCTCGCGTCAGTGACTGGACTCATGACGACGGTATTGGGTTTTGGGTGTACTGACTGCTTCCAACTGCGAGTGAAATGGCGGCCAGGAAAAGGGTTTAGGGCTTCTGGGAAAACAGCAAAGCGAGAAACGGGGAAGGACGAAGGCGGTCGATCTACTAGAAACTAATTAGATTATAATTAATCTAATTAAATCTTTCAAATAATAATTAATTATAAAACTTATAAATAATAACTTATATAGCAAAAATGAATGTGGGTTGGTGTTCAAGATTGTTCACTTATACAATAAGCTTTTATTTTTTCAAGCTTATTTGATTCTGTAAACAAACACTTATTAGCAATTCTTATACAAATTATAATCAAGTTCTTAATCAAGTGCATTAATTCACTAACTTTTATCGTATAATTTGTGTGCATGAGTAAGTCGATTCTGTATGCATTAAATGATATATAATTAGATTAGACCAACAATGATGCCTCTTTCGCTTAATGCAGTAAGGTATCTCTTCCATAAAATTTATGTGCTTGCTTGTAGGCTAAGCGAACCAAGGTTATGCATTAAAAGTCAAATCCTCTGTACTAACTTAGTACTAACCCAATAGATCTATTTTGCCTTAAGCAAATTTAGGTGAATTATTTTTTATTTGGTTTTAAGTAAAATGAACGTAGTGCAAAGTTTAAAAATGGTGGCAACTAGCACGATGGAGGTGACTGATGGCAGGGGTGGCGCAGGCGGGGCGGCGATGGCTGCCGCCGGTCATGGTCAGTGGCTGGTTGTGGTCGAGTTTGGTTGCAATGTAAACGGATCTAGCTCAAAATTGGGCGGACCCCTTTACCTAAAAAATGGGCTAAATTATTTTACAGTACATTTACCATATTTTATTTTATATTTATTTTCTTCCAAACAAACATCAATTTTTTTAAAAACTTCTGCATTCACTTTACTTTATGCTCCATTTTACTTCCAGCAAAATAACCCCTTAGTGCGACGTCGTTAGAAATACTCCTTTAGTGGTTAACTCTTATTTAAGTGAATGCTACAAAAATGAAAGAAGTCATTGATGATCAAATAATAATTGTATTTAATTTTAAAAGAACTGAATTTATTTATTTTGTACCCTTAATGCTTTATATGATGATTATGTTCAATTTTTTTCTTATATAAAATGATTGCACCATAATGATGTAAGTTATATAATATTTGAATATCATTAGTATTTATTATGTAATATAGTTTAACCCTCATTCGATTCTGGTTGAACCATTGAACCGTTAACAAATTATTCTTTCTGGTCGTTGTTTGTGTTAATTTTCACAACAACAACAAACATTTATTCCACTACGTGTGGTCGGCTACATAAATCATTTTTCTTCATTGTGTCCTATTAAAAGTCAAATTCTCGTTTAAATCTAATGAAGAAAGATCATTTATAATATTTAATAACCAAGACTTCTTAGTTCTACTTCTACCTTTTTTATCTAATACATCTACTTTCTTAACCGGGTCATCAGAAGGTTGCCGTTTTATGTGACCGAACCATCTAAAGCAACTTTCTCTAATCTTATCTTCTGTTGGAGCTACTACAACCTTTTTACGTATATGCTCATTTCGTATCCTATCCCTATGGGTAAAGCCGCTCATCCACCTGAGCATCCCTCATATCTGTCATACTTATCTTAATATTATGATTATCTTTTAATGGCCAACATTCAGCACCATAAAGTATTGCAGGCCTCACTACCATCTTATATAATTTTACCTTAAGTTTGAGGAGTACTTTTCACACATGGAAACTTCTTCATTCTTCGAACACGTTGTAGTTGTTGTTTATGTCCTTGGCTGCTTTCTGGATTTTTGGTCCCTAGTCCCCTCTCTTTTTTTGATTATTGGGACTATTTTTTTGGAAGGACAATGATGAATGCTGGTCCCCTCCAACTGTCCCTTGGATGATCTTATAGGCAACCAGGGGCCATGTTGCTCTCGGTGGACATTTTGAAGCTGCTCAAGTGATATTCTTTTACCATCCTGACTCCTTCATTTTTGAATTAGACTCTTTTAACATTTTGGATTTCCTTTTTATGTTATGATCTCCTATTTTGTTTGGACCCCTTAACCTAATTTTTTCTTCTTTTTACACTTTACACTTATAATATGATCTTTTTTTCATCGATGATACGGACTTTCTGCCCTCAAAATTCATAAAAAAAAAATATCGTGCAGATTTAATGAAATGACGAAACTATCCAAACAAAACAGTACTTTGGTAACCTCACTCAGGGCATTTTGGTACTTTCATTGACTATCACATTAATTGGATATATGCGGAGGGTTGCTATTTAAAAAGTTTCATTTCTGACCTGCGTGCGATCAAAAGAAAGAGGGTAGAGAGTGAGGAGGACGTGAAGAGGGAAGGTAGAGAGTGAGGAGGACGTGAAGAGGGAAGGTAGAGAGTGAGGAGGACGTGAAGAGGGAAGGTAGAGAGTGAGGAGGACGTGAAGAGGGAAGGTAGAGAGTGAGGAGGACGTGAAGAGGGAAGACTGAAGAGGAGAATTTGATTTCAGAGGTGGGTCTTTTGAATTTGTTTATTTTATTTAAATTTTTGGGATCATTTCGTGAAAAATTTCTCTTCTTTATGTGTGGCTTAATGTGATTTTGCGTTTAAACTTTTCCATCTAAGCTGATGGATCGGGTTTTTTGAAAACTGGGTGGAGATTAAGTTTCACTTCACTTTGTTGAACGATGGGTGGGTTGGTGTTCAAGATTGTTCACTTATACAATAAGCTTTTATTTTTTTTCAAGCTTATTTGATTCTGTAAACAAACACTTATTAGCAATTCTTATACAAATTAGATTCAAGTTCTTAATCAAGTGCATTAATTCACTAACTTTTATCGTATAATTTGTGTGCATGAGTAAGTCGATTCTGTATGCATTAAATGATATATAATTAGATTAGACCAACAATGATGGAGAAGCCACCATGTCTGCCTCTTTCGCTTAATGCAGTAAGGTATCTCCTCCATAAAATTTATGTGCTTGCTTGTAGGCTAAGCGAACTAGTTTTGGCGCATGAAGATGGCTTCACCGGTAGTGATATCTCTCTTATATTTTATTGGTGATATATTTCTTATTAATTTTTGAAGTAAAATTTATCGTATTTTTTTAGATTAAAAATTTTTGTAATAAAAAAATTGTTTAAAAAATCAAGAAAGCTGCCCTAAACGAAGCAATAATGAGGCAAACATGATCAACTTGGACTTCATTCGGGACAATTTTCTTATTGCTCTTCAAAAAAAATTTTAGTATAAAATTTTTTAAAATATACTTTTTTTTATTAGAATGCTGCTTTAAAAAATAGTAAAGAAGCTAATCCAAAAGAAGCCTTATAAGTTGACAATCTCACAAACTGAATTGAAGTAAAACGAACCAAGGTTATGTATTAAAAGTCAAATCCTCTGTACTATCTTTTAGTACTAACCCAATAGATCTATTTTGCCTTAAGCAATTTTTGGTGAATTATTTTTTATTTGGTTTTATGTAAAATGAATGTAGTGCAAAGCTTAAAGATGGTGGCAACTAGCGCGATGGCGGTGACCGATGGCGGGGGTGGCGCAGGCGGGGCAACGACGACCACCACCAGTCATGGTCGGTGGCTGGTTGTGGCCGAGTAATTGCTTGCAATGTAAACGGGTCTAGCTCAAAATTGGGCGGACCTATTTACCTAAAAAATGAGCTAAATTATTTTACACAACATTTATCATATTTTACTTTGTATTTATTTTCTTCCAAACAAACATCAAATTTTTCAAAACCTCTGCATTCACTTTATTTTATGCTCCATTTTACTTCCAGCAAAACATCTCCTTAGTGGAACAGCATTGGAAATACTCCTTTAGTGGTTAACTCTTATTTAAGTGAATGCTATTAAAATGAAAGAAGTCATTGATGGCCAAATAATAATTGTATTTAATTTTAAAAGTATTGAATTTATTTATTTTGTACGTTTAATGCTTTATATGATAATTATGTTCACTTTTTTCTTATATAAAATGATTGCACCATAATGATGTAAGTTATATAATATTTGAATATCATTAGTATTTATTATGTAATATAGTTTAACCCTCATTCGATTCTGGTTGAACCATTGAACCGTTAACAAATTATTCTTTCTGGTTGTTGTTTGTGTTAATTTTCACAACAACAACAACAACATCAAGTCTTTATCCCACTACGTGGGGTCGGCTACATAAATCATTTTTCTCCATTGTGTCCTATTAAAAGGCAAATTCTCGTTTAAATCTAATGAAGAAAGATCATTTATAATATTTTATAACTGAGTCTTCTTACGTCTGACTCTACCTTTCTAAACATAAGTCAAATCTAATACATCTACTTTCTTAACCAGGTCATCGGAAGGCCGCCGTTTTATGTGACCAACCCATCTAAGGCAATTCTCTCTAATAGTATCTTCCGTTAGAGCTACTCCAACATTTTCACGTATATGCTCATTTCGTATCCTATCACTAGGGGTAAAGCCATTCATCCACCTGAGCATTCTCATCTCTGCCACACTTAACTTAGTATTATGATTCTCTTTTAATGTCCAACATTCGGCACCATAAAGCATTGCAGGCCTCACTACCATTTTGTAGAATTTTCCATTAAGTTTGAGGGGTACTTTTCTATCACACAAGAAACCCCATGCATTCATTTGTGTTAATTTTTACGACCTTGATTAAATCAACGAATGAGATTGAGTAGGAACTCATCTCGAGTTCACGCTATTAACTCCTCAACCTCATATATCCTGTTAAACTTATTTTCATAAATTTCTTATACTCTATATGAAGTTGACTCTAATTTCTTAGTATAAATATATTTGGCACAAAAAATATCCATACAATTTTCTTGTTTCTCTTGGATAGCTATAGTAGGGGGTATAAAAATAGCATATGCTTTAACATATAGAAACATATATCTTTTTTATGGGCTATCAATTTTCCAAGAAAAAAAAAACTCCCAAACATCAGGTGAAATTATTTTGTGCCGTCACCAGATGCTGCTCGGAGGCGAATTAGGATACACCATATCACTTTTTTTATGTGTATTAGTGTTGTGTACCGAGTGATGTGACATATTATGATCCGGCTCCGAACAATCCGGTGAGCGTACTGAATTATTTCTCCAAACTCAGTCATACTGAAATTATTCTGTGCGGTGTCCGGACGGGTGAACCCTCCGAATTTATTGCATATTTTGTGAGTATTTACAAATACGCTTGCAATGGCACGGGGCAAGCTCGAACAACTTGCATCGATATCGTGCAGATTTAAGGGGCTCAATTATACCGAAAAGTTGTCGTAAAACTATTAACCGTTCGTGTTCTAGATTTCTGTACTTTGGAAACATCAACATGAGGAAGTTACATACTATTGCGTGGAACGATACTTGTAAACCCAAGATCTATGGAGGTTTGGGCATCCCTCCATAGACTCCCTCTACCATGCTTTCTCCACCACTTTAATTTGGAGGTTTCTTAACTTTAGCAATTTGCTTTTTGACCGTTGGCCTTATAATCATCTTTCACTGTGAAACTATAGCTCTACCCACTGCTCTCCTTATTGGTGCAAAATCCCTCTAGATTTCATTTTTTTGGTGCAGTTCTTCTGTACGAGCTGACCTTAGTACGGACAAACTGTAGAAAATCTGTATGGTTAGTCTGTACGAACTGAGTAAATTGCAGGTTCGTCTGGACGAACTGAACAAATTTTTTTTATAGAGCCCATCGTCTAGGGACGAAAATCCATTATCGTCCCGTACGATCAGTGTACAGAGGATATCGACCTGGGACGAACGAAAAACATTGACTGGACAAATGAAAATATATTTTCTCTATTTAAGTGCCATTTGAGAGATATTTTGAAGAAAGAGAAAAGATGAGAGAGAAAGAGAAGGAAAAGCTTGATTTTGGAGGCATCGGTGCAATTTTTGTCCGACGCCGTTTTAGAAGAATTGTTTGTCTAGAGGTAAAGAATCTGAATCATATTTCTAATTTCAAAGATTTCATGTTTTGGTTTTTTTTTCTGCTCAGATTGGGGTTTCCGTTACCCAAAAACGTGCATATATTTGTATTGACGAAACTTTTATCGCGTAACTTTTGCTATGTTGTTGAGATGATGATTTTGCACGTTTTAAGTATTTTCTGAAATGTTTTCATAGGTATTTTGAATTCTGTGGGATTTTATTGAATAGAAAATTATCTGGATGTTGAAAAATATTGCTTCAATACAAGTAAAGCTTTGAAATTATGTTTTATCCGATTTTTTGTAATTTGGTGGTTTTCTGAAACTATGTATTTTGACTATGTTTGGGATTTATGTCGACTGCACGATATTTTACGGATTCTCTTCATTTGAGCTAATCGTGCTTGTTAATTTCAATACATTAATGAGATGTATATGAATGTGGATATATGAATGAATCTACTACTATTATATTACTAAAAGACAAGTAAGAATTGATTGAACCGTTTGTTGGAGATTGACCTGTACATGATTGTGGGCCGACGGGCTTTCCTTTAAAAAGTGTTTGGTGTTATCCTCTACTAATCATGTGATTACTGATGGGATGTCACAATTGGAAACTTATGTGTAGCACTGCAGGCTATATCAGGCATTGCTTAACCCTTACTGTCCACCCTAACATCAATCTATCCTTCCTATGGGATCCCTAGTGTGATGGGCACTATCTTTGAGCTACTTGGCGGCCTCCCCTCTGCACATGGGCTCACTGATATTAGAGGCTTGAAGGTCTCAAAAGCCATTGTTGGTAACTGTTGGTCCTTGCCTATCTGGTTGGACAGTGTTGTCGCCTCTAAAATCCTCACCACTAGTATTGTGCAGCTGCCTGCCCCTCACTCTTGGCTGGGCTTTCAGCAGCTGTTTTTTAAAAATTTTCATATGCAGATGCCATCCCCTGGCACAATTTCGTCTGGTTTAAAAAGTCTCATATGTGGTTCTCTGCTTTTGCATGGCTAGCCTTCAAGGGTGGTCTTAAAATAGCTGATGTTCTTGCCTCCTGTGGGATCCAAACTTCTAATTTGCGTTATTTTATGAGTGCCAAGTCACTCTGTGTCTGTTAAGATAAAAAGGCTATTTTGCAGAAGATTCACACATGGAAACTTCTTCATTCTTCGGACACATTGTAGTTGCTGTTTCTGTCCCTGGCTGCTTTTTGAATTTTTAGTCCCTAGTGCCCCTCTCGTTTTTTGATTGTTGGGATGATTTTTTTGGAAGGACAATAATGAATGCTGATCCCCTCCAGCTGCCCCTTTGATGATCTTATAGACAACCAGGGGCCAAGTTGCTCTCGGTGGACATTTTGAAGCTGTTCAAGTGATATTCTTTTACCATCCTGAGTCCTTCATTTTTGGATTCGACTCTTTTAACATTTTGGGTTTCTTTTTGATGTTATGAGCTCCTATTTTATTTGGACCACTTAACCTAGTTCTTTCTTCTTTTTACACTTATAATATGATCTTTTTTCATCGATGATACGGAC